TGTCTGTCCTCGGGCATCACCCCACAGGGGGGCGTGGCTCCCCGCCACCCGGGAGGGTGGGATCTGGGCAGCGACAGGAGCCGGGACCCCGTGTGCTCTCCGCAGGCTCTGCCCTAGGAGCCTGCCTGCAGCTTGGGGTGAGTGGCTCCCGCAGGGGATTCAGCTCTCCCCCTAAATCAAGGGGCTCCTCCCAGCCACGTTGGAGGTCTGATACCTGCATCTTTTCACCAGGCACCCACCCTTCCGGGAGCCTCAGCATCCAGTCTGTGGGTCTCAGCTGAGCCTCACAGCCCACTACAGCTTGCTTGCAGGAGGAGAGAGGGCACTGATTCCCTGGAGGGCACCTGTTGCCACAGGTTTCCGAAGTTTGAGGTTGGGGGTAGTCTGCATTATAAAAACAGCAGTGAATAGAAGACACTGACCTATTGGCAGGAGAGCCCTTACAGCCTGTTTTGTGTGGAGACATCAGTAGGGCCCTGTTCCCTAGGAGTGGCCCGGTTCCACACGATGCAGGCATTAGTCACCCACTAAAGGTTACATTTCCATGTGATGGGAGGGTTACCTGAGTCACCCTGAGATGGGAGGCATTTCTTTCCTTGTTCAGTTGTCAGTCACTCTGAACCTCTGCCCATACATTTTATTTTGAGCATCTCAGAAGTGTGGACCTGTGCCCTTGTCTCCTTTCTATTTGAAACTGTCAGAGCCAGTCCAGCATTCGGTTCTATTCCCCAACGTTTCATGAACTGATAACATGTAGTGAGATTCACAACCGCCATGGGAACTACATTATGACAGCCCGTCTTAGAGATGAGAAAATCGAGGCTCTAAGAGGTGGAGCTCGCAGAGTTGGTGAGAATGGAGCCAGGGCCTGTCCCGCTGCTGAGTCTGTTCTCACAGTCACAGCGCTGTGTCTGAGCCAGGGCTCTGTCCTGGGGAGGCTGTGCAGATGAACAAGGCCCTGTGTCCTGGAACCAGTGTGCGCCTGCTCGTGAGAACTGACTGTGGAAAGTGTCTCCCGAGTTTGGGACATCACATTGGTAGCTTGAACTTGGCCATGGTGTAAGTATTTATACTATGAGAATTGGTGAATACTAAAAATCTAGGTTCTTTTGTTTCTCCTTGACTTGATTTTCCAGCATGTGTTGCTTATAATTATTAAGGAAGCTGTTTACAAAATTATATCCATTCAATGTGTGTAGATAAAACCATATCATTGTGTACACACACACACCCATAGCAGTAGGAATGAATCTTAATCATACCTCTCTAGGTAAATATTTAAAACGTACAACTACCATTTAGCAGAAAGGAATTCTGAGCAGCCCTGATGTTAGTCAGGATCCCTATGTCCCTCAGAGGTCTTGTTAAACTTGGCCTAGACCCCAGTTCTGCAGATGGTGACACCAACATGGCCCCACAACTCCTTCCAACGAGTTGGAACTCCCTCCTAAATTCTCCTGGCTGCCAATCCCCTGCACCTTCCCAAGCAGGCTGTTTTCCTGCCTCAGCGTCACAGGGTTTTTACAGGATGTTCATGAACTTTCCTGAAGCCTTGAGGTGTCATGGGGGGGATCGCCAGGCATGTTCTCCCACCTTTGCACGACCGCCCTCTCCCTCCCCCCATCTCATTCTATTCCAGAGGTCTACACATGCCTAGACCCCTGCAGCTCACCTGCTGCCTTGTTATCTCCCCAAAAAACAAAGTTTTTTTCCTAAGAGGTGTCTGGTGTCGGCTGTTAGTGGAATGCATGGTCCCACCTTGTTTCAACTACATTGCTCCCCCTCAGTTTTCTCAATTCATAGTTTATAAAATAATTCACAGGGTGGGAGACCTCTTGGAGGAATGTACCTAAAGCTTATGTTTGGATGAAATCTGATATGCTCTGAGATTTTCCAAGTCACGTTGGGGAGTTTTTGAAGGATCTCGGCCAGCGATGAAGACTGTGGCCGCTGTGATGCCTGCCAGGCCCTGGGCAGCCGCTGCTTTGCAGACTGTTGGGTGTTTCACAGCACAGCTCTAACCCAGGAGACACCCAGCTG